TACAGATGTCTTCCCTTTTTATCCCCATGGACCCTCTCTTCCCCAATCCCGCCCTCTCTCCTACCTTCCCCACACTGTTGTCTGTGTCCATTGGCTATGCATATTTGCATAGAAGTTCTTTGGTTTATCTTGTCCCGCCCTCCCTCCCCCCTTCTCTTTGAGGTTCATCAGTTTAACAACCAATTTGTACTTCTGAATTCCTTTGTCTTTTTCACCCATCCACCCAACCCCCTCTCATCTGGCAAGCAACAAAAAGTTCTCTGTATCTATGAGTCTGTTTCTCCTCTGCTTGTTCATTTTGTTACTAGATTCAATTGTTGATAGATATGTATTTATTGCCATTTTATTGTTTATGTTTTATCTTCTTCTTCAAGAATACCCTTTAACAATTCATATACTATTGGTTTGGTGGTGATGAACTCCTTTAGCTTTTTCTTGTCTTGGAAACTCTTGATATGTTTATCGATTCTAAATGATAGTTTTGCAGGATAGAGTAATCTTGGTTGTAGGTCATTGCTTTTCATCACCTTGAATATCTCTTGCCACTCCTTTTTGGCCTGCAAGATTTCTTTCGAGAAATCAGCTGACAGTCTTATCGGAGCTCCTTTGTAGATAACAAATTGCTTTTCTCGCGCTGCTTTTAAGATTCTCTCTTTGTCTTTAACCTTTTGCATTTTGATGATGATATGTCTTGGTGTAGACATCTTTGGATTCTACAAAGGGACACTCTGTGCTTCCAGGACTTGTGTTTTCTTCACCAAGTTAGGGAAGTTTTCTGTCATTATTTTTTCAAATAGGTATTCAATTTCTTGTTCTCTCTCTTCTCCTTCTGGCACCCCTCTGATGTGAATTTTGGCATACTTGAAATTGTTCCAGAGGCTCCTTACACTATCCTCATTTTTTTGGATTCTTTTTTTCTTTTTGCTGTTCTGATTGGGTGTTTTTTGCTTCTTTATATTCCAAATTGATAATTTGCTTCTTGACTTTACCTACTCTACTATTGATTCCCTGTAAATTATTCTTTATTTCAGTTAGTTCAGCCTTCATTTCTGACTGGTCCTTTTTTATGTTGTTGATGTACTTGCTGAGTTCCTTGGAGTTCTCCTTAAGTTCCTTGAAGGTCTCACTAAGTTCATTGAGCATCCTTATAACCAGTGTTTTAAACTGTGCATCTGATTGATTGTTTATTTCCATTTTGTTTAGTTCTTTTCCTGGAGTTTAGTTCTGTTCTGTTCTTTCATTTAGGACATGTTTTGTTGTCTTCTCATTTTGGCCGCTTCTCTGTGTTTGTTTCTATGTATTAAGTAGAGTTGCTGTGTCTCCTAGGCTTTGTAGGGTTGACTATTGTTGTAGGTGTCCTATAGGGTCCAGTGGCACAGCCTCCCTGATCACCCCAGTTGGGCCCTCCAGGTGCATCCCTAGCCTAGACTGTATACTCTTCTGCTATAATTGAGTCGTGATTGCTATTGGCATGTCAGTGGGAGGGATTTACTCAGGCTGATCAGCTGTAAGGACTGGCTGTGCCCACTGACCACTGGTTTTTGACTACCTTGGAGGATCAGCTATGTAGGGGCCCACCACACAGAGCAAGAGTTACTTCAGCAGGGTTCTGGTACCCACTGAGTCCACTCATTTAGTGTGTCAATTGTGGAGGTGGTTGGTGGTGGTGCTTCGATGTGGTCTGCAGCTGTCCACTGGGTGTGCTGGCTTTGGGGCAAGGTCAGCCACTGCCTGTGTTCTATCTGAGGCCACCCAGCGTAAGCTACAAAGTGATCTGCAGATGGTTGCTTCTTGTACTGGGCTTGGAGATACCCAGGAAAAGCCAAGTTGTGAACCAAGTCTGGCTGCTTCTAATGGGGCCACTTAACAAGAGGGATGGGCCCTGGCTGGTTTGGCTCAGCGGTTAGAGCATCAGCCTGCGGTCCGGAGGGACCCAGGTTCGGTTCCCGCTAAGGGCATGTACCTCGGTTGCAGTTTGTCCCCGGCCCTGGTTGGGTCATGCAGGTGGCAGCCACTCGATGTGTCCCTTTCACGTCGATGTTTCTCTCTCTCTCTCTCTCTCTCTTCCTCTCTCTCCCTCCCACTCTTTCTGTGCAAAAAATGGAAAAATGTCCTCGGGTGAGGATAAAAAAAAAAAAAAAAACAAGAGGGATGGGGCTTGCGAGACCAGATTATGCTTGTTTGAGAGATTTTAGGAAAAGTCTGAAGCAGAAGCCAAGACAGGCCATTCCTATGGTGAAGCTATTGGAAACAGCTTGGGTGGGCCTGAAAGTCAGTTGGGGCAGGGCCTCAGGGAATCACCAGGGCCGGACAAACAGTGTGAGCCAGGTTGCTGGAGTCCCAGATATGTCTCCCATCTGTTGCCTGGGGGAAGGGCTCACCAAAGGAACAAAAGCCTCCAACAGCACATCTGTTGAGAGAAAGCTGCCTCTCCAGCCCTGATCCTGAGTCTAAACAGCTCAGTTCTTCCCTGTATGTCTCTGGTGCCTTTGAAGCTGCCTCCCTTCCGAGCTTAGAAGGAGCAAGTCTGAGTAAGTCCGTACGTGGGCCTTTAAGAGGGAGCTGCCTGGTGCTCCAGCTACCTCAGCCTCTCTCAGCCTCAGTTCCTGCTGGTTTTACAGCCAGAAGTGATGGGGATTCTCTTCCTGGCACTGGAAACCTGAGCTGGGTGCCTGGTGTGGGATGGGGACCCCTTGCTTCTCAGGAAGGACCTTCCCAGCTGAGGTGTCCTCCTGATTTTTATCCGCCACATGTGGGTGTGGGACCAGCCTGCTCGCCTCCTCCCTCCTACCAGTCTCCATGTGGCTGCTTCTTTAATTTCATAGTTGTAGGACTTCCATTCAGCTAGATTTCGGGCGGTTCTGAATGATGGTTCTATAGTTTAGTTGTAATTTTGATGTGGTGGTGGGAGGGGGGATACCGTATTTACCTAGGCCACCATCTTGACCGGAAGTTTCAAGACTGGAGTTTTTAATTCACAGACTTGTCCACAGTGAACCTCCAGCAATGTGTCAATTATAGTTCAGGTTCTACTAATACACTAATTCCCATGGTGGTTTCCCCCTTGTGAGTCTCTGCTCTGGAAATCCATGATCCCTGTATTCACTCTCTAATCTTAGAGACAGTGGTTTGCCTGTGTCCTCCCATATCTTAGGGATCCAAGAGTTGTTGGTCTTTCTGCCTGTTTAGCATTTTATTTGTTAGGATGGAGTTTCATCATGACATTGAGGTGGGGGAGTATCATTTTCCATCCAGCTCCCAGCCGACACATCTCCCTCAGTGCCTTGAGAACCAGAAATTACAAGAACTGACTTACAAGATGGTTAAGAATCAAAAGGCGCTTTGCAGGTTGGAGGACTTTTCTGCGAGGCCAGCCTACTGGTAGGGGAAGTACTGGCCCTGGATCAAGTCGGTGCACAAGGGCAGGTCCAATTCTTAAGATCAAACTCAGTTTCCTGTTGGAAAACCGTGGAATTGATGAGGAGTTTGGGAGGAAAAGGAGCAGGATCTACACAAAAAACTGAAGTTCACAGGTAAAAATAATAAATAAATAAATAATTTTATTTTTATTTATTTATTTATTTATTTATCCTCACCCGAAGACATTCTTCCATATTTTGTTCAGAGAGAGTGGGAGGGAGAGAGAGAAACATCGACGTGAAAGGGACACATCGAGTAGCTGCCACCGCACGACCCAATCAGGGCCGGGGACAAACTGCAACTGAGGTACGTGCCCTTAGCGGGAACTGAACCTGGGCCTCTCTGGACCACAGGCCAACGCTCTAACCTCTGAGTCAAACCGGCCAGGGCAATAAATAATTTTAAATAAAATCTAGAGCTCAGCTTTGTCAAGTATATGATTGTCTAACCACTATGCTATACACCTGAAACTAATACAAGATAATATTAAATGTACACTCTAATTGAAAATTGTTTTAAATTAAAAGTAAAAAAATCCAGAGCTCAACAAAAACCACCTATGATTCTTAAAACCTGATATAATTTGCCATGATCTTTGAAATTCTAGTCCAGAAAGAACCGGGGTCAGCCGAGGAAATAACTATTTATACAGAGAGTCTAATAAATACGCTTGCTTGCAGCAATATCGTATTTCCATAAATTTTGTTTTTAATGCTGAACCTTCTTCCTTATGGTAATTTGATCTGAACAATTATTAGGCTTTTTTAGTTCAATAAAGGGTTATGTTTTTATTTTCTTTAAAGTCACCACTGAGTAATGACATAAACCTTCATTTGTGACTCAGATCATTAGACTCATACATGGGAGGCCAAGAGGTTGCAGATGGGCACCACCACTAACTTATCACCTGTGCAGTCCCCAGGAGGGCAGAAACAGCCTTGCTCAGATTAGTTCTGCACACCCAGACCTGAACAGACAATATGCAGGAGAAGCAATAGGTTAACTCCAAGTTTGGTGGACAGACTGCCTGTGTTCGTATCTGAGCTCCGTCGCTCATTGGCTGGAGACCTTGGGCAGATTACCTCACCTCTCTAGCCTTCATTTCCTCATGATGTAATGGTGAAATGAGTTACTCATAGCACCTAATTCATCAGCTTGCTGTGAAGATTAAATGAGTCACCTAATGTTACATGCACTGACTGTTATTACTTTTACTATTATTTGACACAAAGCAATGAAGACTGTTTTTATTTATTTATTTATTTTTGGTAATGCCCCTAGTGAGAACCGAACCCAAGATTCTCTGGTCCACAGGCTGATGCTCCAACCGCTGAGCCAGACCGGCCAGGGCAAGACTATTTTTAGAAAAAGGAAAAATATGTTTATTTCTCCTCTATTCATTCAAGAAATATCTTGACCATCAGTAGCATTATACAGATAGCATTTTGGTTAGGCAGCACCAGGGATTACACAGCATTTCATGGTGAAGATATCTGTGCTTTTTATTTTTGCTGTCTAGGAATATATTATGCAGTCAGAATGGGGTAGTGCCATGTGAGATATAAGTCTAGATAAAAGGCTTTTTTTTTTTTTTTTTTTTTTTTTTTTTGTGTGGGCAAAGTCAGCTCTTCATTTGGCAGCATGCTTCTTGTATATCTCCAAGAACTCAGTCACGTCTTCAGGGGACCCCAGGATGACTGGCGCCCTCTGGTGGATGTCAGTGGGAACGATGTCCAGTATAGCTTCCTTCCCAGTGGTAGCCAATCCTCCAGCCTTCTCTATGACATAGGCCATTGGGATACCTTCATACAGTAGTCTCAGCTGGAAAACAAGAGCCAAGATCAGTGTCTTCACAGCAGAAGGTATTGCAGAGAAAGGATTTATTCCATAGCAAAACAGTGCAGAGCTGGTAGAAGTTTCCAAGGTATCTGATACTCTCCCCTTCCCTTCTCTGAGGTTGTAAAAGCCCCACACACATACCCCAAGGTTGCATATAAAACCAAATGGTTAATTTAGCCATTTGGTTAAATTAAGCCATTCATCAAGCCAGCGGCAGGAATAGATTACTTGATGCGAATATGAGACAGAACACCTGGACTCAAGACTGAATGACATATTGGCAGAACTGATGGTTCCCTTCTCTTTATTGCACGGAAACTGGACCTAATGAGTGATTCTGTGTGTGTTTTGGATGGAGCTTTGCCTGTTCTAAAAGCATTAAAAAAATTCATGGTTGTGTCTGGCTGCAGACATCTGGAAAGCAGACTGGCTCCTCCAAACAGTATAATATTGTTTGCAACTCTATACACATTCCTTTTATAATTCTCCCAAGGCTTGAGGGTTGGATTTACTATATTATATGCCTCAGCATTTACTTTTAAATATTAACTTTTTTACTGTATGTATTTTTGTGCTGTCGCCTACTGAGCAGACAGCTTTCCGCAGGTGTTTCCTGACTCTATTTCCATACAGGTGTCATGACCAGATTTGCAAGACTGAAAAAAAAAAAAAAGAAGAAACCTCAGTATTTGTATTGAAAAACAATTTTTGAGACATTCGAGGAAAGTGCTCTAAAGCAGGCCAATCACATAGGTTGGTATGCCTGAGGAGCCTCTGGCAAGACAGGGGCTTTACGTAAATAGGATGCTTCCCGTGAAACAGGTGCCATACGCTGCAAACAGATATCTGAACATATCTGAGTGCACAGATTTTCATCTTAATTGTCCCTATTCCTTCTCTCATATTAAAAAAAAAAAAAAAAAAAAAAAAAGACAGTCTGTCTATTGGGAAAAACCAAATGACAGCACTTAGGAAGGAAACACTGTCCCTCTGTGCAGAAGAAAAAACGGGCCGCTCAGCGATCACAAGCCCCCACACCCACCCCACAGCTTGGCAAACCCCGCAGGCATTCGCCGCTGCAGGCGGTGGCAACAGCTTTACCTAAAGGCTCTAGGTTTCCCCTGAGATTCGTTCCTTCCCTAGAAAGGTACCATTTCCAAGCAGCAAGTGTCAGCTCATTAGTTATTTCTAGTTTATGCCTTTTGAAAGCAATCAAAGAAAACCTCTATTTGGAATACGTATTTGATTTGCTCCCGCGGTAATGGGGCTGGACTGTTTCATTTCTCTTTATGAATGGAATTTATTTTGCTCAAGCCAAACCACGTGCCCGCTGGAAGCCCGGAGCCCTTTTCGCCCCTCCTGCCCATAACACCATTACTTATCTTTAGCAATGGCAGGGCTCTGCGGAGACCATTTTTAGCTGATATTGCCTGGCTTTGACCAGGACAACCTTTAATCTAGATAAGAATATGCTACAGACATCCTTAGTATCCTACTGTAGTCTAACAGCTACTGCAAACTTTTCTTCTTCCTGAGTCAAATCCCCAGCCTGCAAATGAAAGTTACTGCTTCTCAGAGGATCCGTTTACCTTTCCTTTGGGGCTCTTCTTGTTAGCTGGGTACAGAAAGATCCCTCCATAGACCAGGGTGCGGTGGACATCAGCCACCATGGAGCCCACGTACCTGGAGCCGTAGGGGGCTGAGTTATCCTGCAAGGTCAAGACCAGCAATAATTAGGGTTCCAGAAACGTAAGAAAGGGAGTTCTCTGTGTGCCCTCTACACTTACTTGATTCAGCCGTGTAGTGAGCACCTACACCGTGTGTGTTAGGTCTTTGCTAGGAAATGTGATTAAAACAGAACGGAAACAATAATGGAGACAGCCTCTCATACATCCTAGAGTTGGTCGAATGACCCTCAGAAGCCCCGAGGAGGGTGCTGTTGATTCTGTCTTTCGGTTGGGGCAGGCATCACCAAAATGGTACCACTTCGCAGAGCCTTGCATGTTAAGAAGGATTTTGCCAAACTAAGAAGCTGGGCAAGGGCGGGGTTTTCATCTTGTGGGAGACGGAAGTACACAAGTAAACAACACAGAGAAGCAAATGCTGTCTGCCTGGGGCCTGGGGAGAAGGGGGGATGGGGCGTGGAGTGTGGCCGGAGAGGAACCAAGGTGAGGTGGAAGGAGAGATAATAAAGCTGGAGAGAGAGCCCGGGGCCAGCTCTGAGGGCCCGAATGCCATGCTGACAACATTTGGGCTTCCTCTTCAGGACACAGCAGCCATCGATGACATTTGACAAGAGTGTGACAAAATTGGACCTTCCCACATGAAACCAGCTCTGCAGACAACCGTTTCTTTCCTTTGTATTCAGTCATTTGTATCTGGCAGACACCAAGACGGGCACCCTCAAACTTGGGATGACTGACAGAAATCGTTGGGCAGGTCCCAGGTGCAAGAACCACCTTTCGTACCATCTGGGATCAGGGACCCCAGAAGTGAAATATGTTTTATTGCCATGAGCTCATTCATCCAGCTGGTTTAATCCTGATTTTATTCTGCCAAGAGAAAGTGGCAAAGGCTGAAATGGACCTTCCGATTTTGACACCCCAGGGCAGGGGTTCCAGTTGCCACGACCTGGGTGGGAACTTAATCACGGGTCAGTGCACAGTGGAGTCCAAGCTGCTCTCGTCCCTGCTACCTTTCTCTTCCAGGGTAAATCATGAACCAACACATTTCTGCATAGCTCAGGGCCCTCCCCCAGAGCCCTCACTTACTGGGGGGAACTTCTTCCTCTGGATGTACTCGGTGACAGCAGGTTCAAAGTCCTTGGCGTAGCCCTCATTGATGCTGTAGATGTTCCCTTTCTTTTTGATCTTCACATCCTTATCCACTAAGATGAACTCTCCAATGGCCTGTGAAACAGGAAGGAAGGTGGAGAGCTGATGAGCCCTCTCCCGAGCCTGTGTGAGGGTGCGGGGGCTGGGCTAGGCGGGGAAAGGGGTACGAGGCCTGCAGTCACACCCATGCAACAGTACATGGGTTTTTCTGATTGAGGGGTAACTGATGGATAACATGACACTAGTTTCAGGTGTAAATAGAGATTCGACATCTGTGTGCGAAATGGTCACCAGCGCAGGGAGCTCCTTGTGGCCCTGGGCACCGGTGCCTCTAGCCTACCTCTCCAAGAACAGTGTGCAGGGCCAGGGCGAAGAGGATGCACTGGGGAGACTGGTGAAAGGAACCGGGAAAAGGCCAGAGGCTGCTGCAGGTGTCCACAGGGGATGGAGGACCCTTGTGACTTTGCTTTTCAATGGTTTCAGTAAAAGAAGAAAGAAAACATGCACAAACATATGGAGGGCAGGAATGTGTGAAACAGCAGCAAACCCTCAGGGGGAATAAAACTTGATGTCCGTAATATAAAATATACATGCCTTCTCAAAAACAAGTTGGTGCAGACAGGAGGTGGGCATCAGAAGAGATGGACAGCTGAGTTACACCAACCGCCTCAGGGCTGCTCTCAGCTTTCCGTTTCTACCTCGATGACATTTCCCTTTTGTGTGTTGCTACAGAAAAGAGTAGAGCCCTGCCTGGCTGGTGTGGCTCAGTGGTTGAGTGTAGACTCATGCACCAAGAGGTCGCTGGTTTGACTCCTGGTCAGGGCACATGCCCCGGCTGTGAGCCTGATCCCCAATAGGGGGCGTGCAGGAGGCAGCCAATCAATGTTCTCTCTCATCAATGTTTCCATCACTCTCTTCTTCTCCCTTCCTCTCTCTCTCTAAAATCAATCAATTAAAAAAAAAAAATAGGAAAGAGAAGAGCCCTGAGTTTTGATTCGCAGCCATATAACCTCCGTGCCTCTGCTCGGTGACTCAGCGTATTTCTCAGGACATCCTCCCACAAAGCCCCAGTGCTAAGCGGGTGCCTTTAGAGCTCAGGTTCTTCCGAAGGGATTGGGATTTGGAGGAACAGAGCTCCTGTCGCTCTGGACTGAGGGTTGCTTGGGACTCCTGCGTGTCACTGAGGAGGTGGTCAGGGTTCTGATCATCTGGGGAGGGGGTTGCTCCATGCAGACAAGGGTTAGAAGAAGGGAGACCTCACCAACACATCTCTCCCAGCCGTTTACTCCCCTAGCGAAGACTGGTTCCCATCAGTACAGAGCACGTGTTACTAGAGACGGAGGGAGGAAGAGAGGAAGGAGGAAGGCTAAGGGAAAGGAGAGAAAAGCGACTAGAATTCATAGTGGTCACTGAACGGTGTCATTGTGAGTGATTCTTCTTTTTTGTCTTTTATGCTTTCTCAGTATTTCCAACTATTTTGACCACAAATATGTAGAAATAGTGTTTCGTGGTCAGAACACTAAGTAAACACATAGATATCTTTTCAAAAAGAAAGTCTGAACAGTGAAGCCATTGCCCCGCAGGTGCCGCGGGACTCATGCCATGCTCTGCCCCCACCCAGGTACCGGCCGGAGCCACGAGGTGTGCGGGGCGGTCTCCTGAACGGGGAGACAGGAGACGGAAACGCTTCTTGAAAGCAAAAGCCTGCTCCAAATGCATATACCGCTGTTGGGGTATTTTCAGCAGAAACCCTCAGCCTGTCCTCGCAGCAAACCAAAATGAAAAGACAAGGCTAAGCCGGTCTGCGGCTCAGCCCCGGAGCCAGCAGCCAACAGAGGGTGAGTCAGTCCAAGAGGACAGTGGGCGACATTGTTCTTCCCAAGTGGCCAGCCGGTGTGAGGAGGGCAAAGCCTATCAAACACACAGAAACTTACTCCCAGAGACACAGCCTGCAATCTGGAAACAAGAAGAGATTTCCCTTTTTGACGTGTCTATCAACACAAAGGTGACAGAGAAGTCACCAGGAGAGCGTCAGGGAAGCAGGAAGTGTCTGCGAGCTGCTAGATCAGCTCTCATCAGTGATTTCAGAAACTGTGCCCTGAGCTCTGTGAACTGGGTCACTATTTTCCCCGAGGTCACCCCATGGGAGGTTTAATCTAGCGCTGTCCCCCACCCTTGTTTATTTATTAAGTGCCAGTACTTCCAAGGAGGCAAAGTCCAGTTGTGCAAGACGGCAGGGGACAAAGGCACCTGCATTCGGACTTATCTGCCCCGCCAGGCACAAACCTGGGCCTCTCCGGGAGCTGCCTGCCCCTCCCAGGCTTCCAGCCGCTGTCCGTCTTTGTGTTCAGTTTGTCAGCAAAAGGCAGCAAACAACATGCTTCATTAATGTTGTCCAAGGACATTCTAAAACTAAAGATGTTTCTAAACGCGATTCTCTTCCCCTTGGGACACCAGACCAAACACGCAAGGAACATGTCAACCTAGCAAAGATTATTCTGTGCAGTCTGAATTCAACGGTGGGTTTAGTTGCACCAGATATTGAAAAAGATTTCTTTCCCTAATGTATCTGCTCTGCTGAAACTGCCATCTACCTGAATAAATAAGTAACTCCAGTTAATAGATATGTAGAAAAAATTATCCACAAGTTAAAACTGCTGATGAATATGTTTCAAGGGCTTCTCTCCATAAGGTAGCTTTTCTCTATAAGGTAGACTAAGGAATTGTCTTCATTTCCTTCTGTATTTTCATATCCTCGAGTTCATCAGAGCCTTTGCACATGAAATTAATTTGGCAGCTATTTTTAAAATATGTTTTTATTGATTTTTTTTTAGAGAGAGGAAGAGAGAAAGAGATAGAAACATCAATGTGAGAGAGAAACATGGATCGGCTGCCTCCAGCACGCCCCCTACTGGGGATCGAGCCTGCAACCCAGGCATGTGCCCTGACCAGGAACCGAACCGGGACCTCTCAGTCCACGGGATGACGCTCAGTCCACTGAGCCACACCAGCCCGGCTTGGTAGCTATTTCTGAAGACACAATGCTTTGGTCGGGCTATCTGCTCACCTCAGGAAAATAAGCTGGTAATGAATACAATGGCTGGTAAACAGACCATCCACAGACCCCATCTGATCTATAAATGTGTTTTGGTTGGCGAGCATGATGTTTTACAAATCCAGAAACATCACATTTAAAAAACAAAACAAAACAAAACAGTGTTTCTTAAACATCGGAGCCTCTCTAGCTCACCACAGTCCCCACGGTCACCCCTGGCCGCCTCCGCCAGCACTCTTGACTCATGCCGATGGCTTGCCTGGCCTCGATGGGCACTGGAGTCAGTTCAGTAACGTCGTTCTGAAGATTTCATCTTGGAACAAAGGCCCCTTATATGCTCTGGACAGATATCATTTCTCACCTCAATAATCTGCTCATGACGTACACGGTGTCCTTCACTTCACTCACTTCCCCGCCCCATCTCTGTCCCTCCGCAGACCTCATCTCCCACCTCTGTGTGCCTCCCCCCGCCACAACTCTCACTCACAGCCATCGGCAAGCTCCCAACCTCCCACAGGGTCTCTCACCGGGTCCAGCATGAAGCAGTTGACGCCACAGGCCATGGCCAGGACCAGCATGGTGGCACTGCCGTAGAGGGCGTAGCCAGCAGCCACCAGGTTGCGGCCGGGCTGCAGGGCGTCCTTCTCGGAAGGCTCATCAGTGGAGTTCTAGGACAAAAAAGAAAACAAAACCCGTCTTTACGGTGTTTACGGTTCTTTTGTTTCGGTTCAACCATTAGCAAGATGCATTATCAAGGTGCTTTCCTGAGGAAATTCAGCATCTTCTTAGAGGGACCTTCCTTCACAAATCAGTGATGTCCTGATTACATTACCCCAGCAGCCTCCCACATGCCCCAGATTTCCTGCAGCTGGGTCCTCCTTTCCAATTACGCCCTCCTCCAGTTCTACTAATTTGATATTCCCTCATGGCTCTGTTTTCACTTTCAGAAAGGAGCATGCCTTCTTGCCAGCCCCCACTAATTTAATCTTATTATGGGCATCACAGTCGATCACCTGCCTACTCCATCTTCATTTAAACAAATTAAGACCGGGCTGCGGGGCTGACAGTCTGGTAAGGACATCAGTTCCGGGACTTCTTGCCAGTGGCAGCCCACCCCGCAGGGAGCAGGGTGGCCACACATCAGAGAAATTCTCAGAAATACGGGGACTTAGAATATCTCTCCAGAGTCATCACGGAGTAGGGCAGATGCTCCCGAGTTTTTTGACCATGACCCACGGTAAGAAACATATTTTCCATCACAAACCAGTATCAACACACACTCACGGGCACACAACTGTAGAAATGTAACGAAACAATACTTAGAACGTGACAGGCATTCTAATCTTTTCCTTTTTTTTTTTCATTAGAGATACAGTCCGCTATGTCATGTGACCCACAGTTTGCCGAATATTAAGGAACTGGACACCTGAAGGAGACAGCCTCTAGTCAATGATTGCTAACTGAGAATCACCTGATCTACCAACATTTGACTGGCTTCTTTGTTCCTCAGAACAACTCCAAACAAATCTTCCAGCTTGACTACTCCACTTGAACTTAAACAGAAATGAAAATGGGCAATTTCTACCAATTTTATTTATGCCTTTCCCAGCCAGAGATTTCAGCAGCTGAGGGTAAGGATGTCTGTCGCATGATGCTGAGCAAGGTCATTCCAGCAAAAACATTCATGATGATTTCTTCCTGTAACTTTTGAAAGTGTGGCCTAGAAGTCATGCACATCGCAATCACCTGGGAAACGTATTCGAATGAATATTCTGGGGCTGTCAGCTAGTCCCAGTAAGTTAGACTCCCTACGGTGGGGCCTGAGAATGTGTATTTTCCCATTTGTCACACGTGACTCTTGCCGTAAAGTTTAAGAACTACTTATGTAGCCCTGGCCAGTTTGGCTCAGCAATTAGAGCGTCGGCCTGCGGTCCAGAGAGACCCGGGTTCAGTTCCCACGAAGGGCATGTACTTCCATTGCAGTTTGTCCCTGGCCCTGGTTGGTTGTGCAGGTGGCAACCACTCGACGTGTCCCTTTAATGTCAATGTTTCTCTCTCTCTCTCTCTCCTTCCCACTCTATCTGAACAACAACAACAACAACAACAAAAATGGAAAAATGTCCTCGGGTGAGGATTAAAAAAAAGAACTACTTATGTAAAAGACTTGCTAAAACTGTTTCTTTCCATTTTCCCCTCATCCCCACTCCTCATGTTTCACAAATGGTTTCCATCTAGGTGGTTGGTTGGTTGGCTAGGTTGGGTCAAGTTACTTGATTTGGTTTTGTTTGTGTTCACAGGATAGCACACATAGGCAAACACACATTAAACACAGTATAGAGCACTTCAGTTGTTTTCTCTAACTCCTAACTTTGCCAGTGCACAACCCTGAAAAGGGCACCAGCGTCCTTGGAAACCAGCGAGACAGTGGGAGGGCTCAGGCCTCTGACTACCCTCTGTCACAACCACCAACCCTGCCAGCCAGTGCAGTGGGAATCAGACTGAGGGAATATGTAAACAAAGGAACCGAATGGAAGCTGCTTGAGTGCAGCAATCCATCTCCACTAGTGAAAGTTCCCCAGAGAGGCCCCCTTGCCCAGCATCATCCAGGCCTACCAGTGGGGAAGACACGGACTTTCCCTGAGTCACCAAAGAATCTTACCCTTTTGTTGTCTCTGCATGAAATAAGAAATGACAACACTGTCTATAACCCATATACTCACAAGAAACAGAAAATAACACCATGGAATTAATGGATTTGGAAGAATCCTCTTCTAGCCTGACCCCCTTTGCAATGCATGAATTCCCTCCTCCAAACCCCCAGCAGCCTTTGCTCCAAGAGATTCACTGCGTTCCCACGTGGACGCTCGGGGGCCAATGTGCATAAAGAACTTGGCAAAATTAGAAAGCCTCTGGACCTTGCCTTTCTCTGTGTATCCCAGGCTACCAGCTGCTGCAGGTATGAGTTTGTTTTATTCCACACCTCCCCATATGAGTATAGGGAAAGACACCGTGGATTCTGGAGACTCAAGGTGCTAGACAAGAAAGTCAGGCAGAGGTGTGATGCGGCTGTCATGTCACCAGGTAGTCTTCCCTTAGAGGCGCAGCCAGACCCTCCTTATTAAATCTTACAGGGCACTTGGCAGAATCCCCGGTAACTTAGCCAATATTGTTTACCTACTTTGCATCACGAAACCTAGCAGACAAAAGGCGTGTAAGATGATGTCCCTACCTCAAGGAATTTATAATCTGTACTGGCGATGGGTCGGTCTTGCCTGGCCAGTATCCATCCCTCTCTGCTGATAACGGCACCTACATCTCCCTTAAGATACTGCCTCCCTCCCTCCCAGCTCCAGAGGTGGGCACACGACCTTGGCCTGGCCAACCAGATCACTGCCTGCCTCAGGCCATAGTGATTGGTTGAGAGGTGAGCATGTGACCTAAGTCAAGCCAATCAGAGCCAATGAGATGATATTCTTGTGGGAACTGTTGGAAAACGGGCTTGAGCCCTGGCTGGTTTGGCTCAGTGGTTAGAGTGGCAGCCTATAGAGTCGCAGGTTCAATCCCTAGTCAGGGGCAACCAATCGGTGTGAGAGAGACACATCAATGTTTCTCTATTTCTCTCTCTCTCCCTTCTACTCTCTCTAAAAATCAATGGAAAGCATTCTCAGGTGAGGATTAACAACAGCAACAAAAAGATGCTTGAATTTTCTGCTTGAGCTGCTGAGAGGCCTGGGAGTGAGCCTGGACCTGTGGCACAGAGAGGAGGGGGAGGCGGGAGAGACAAATGAACGAGGTGTGTCCTGTAGGCGGCCTGAGTCCCCGAACGCAGCCCCGCCCGGAGCAGATCCATCCACAGGCTTTTCAGTGATATGAGCCCATTTTCTTTTCCTTCCTCCCTCCTTCCTCTCTTAAGTTAGAGTTGTGATACTGTTCACTGAATCTAAATATATAAAACAACACTGGTAACATTAATAGCTCCCGTTTTTTGAGCACTTTTGATGTACCAAGCACTATGTTCAATGCTTTATACGGAATTTTCAGCATCTCCCCTTTACGCAGAAGGGAACAAGAGGCTAGAGCAGCTCCCTGGTCCAGAGCCCACAGAGCCAGAGACAATGTGGGAGAGCTATTGGTAAGGCTGTTGCTCCATACGCGGTGATCAGTACATCTCTCTGCGCTCAGTTAGGGGGAGTGAGTTGAATTCTGAAGCTGCTAGAACACTTTTTAAACTCTGGTTTGAGTTATGGAGACTGGATTTTTTAAAGGACATCGTAAGAGGGTGACCATGCTTGTGAGATGTCTAAAAATCATCTCATATGAAAGATGTTTAGATTAAAAGAGATTTTTTTTTTTAAAGGAGGCCAGGAAAGCCGTTTCTAAACATGTAAAGGAGTCTTATTTTCTGCTTGAGCTGCTGAGAGGACTGGGTGTAAGCCTGGGCCATTTGGCTCTAATAGGCCAAATGACAATGGGCGACAGATTTTGATTCAATATTTGGACAAACATTCTAATTGTGATGGTTTCCCAACACCTCGAGGGCCTTACACTCCTTCTGGGTGTCCCCAGCCAGAAGCTGGGTGCCCCCCTCCCTGAGGTGCTGCAGCAGGTGCTGCAGCAGGAACTGCACGAAACACTGGTCCCCTTCGGAACCTGTCCCCGGCCATTGCGTGGGCCAGGCCTGGTGCTGTCGCCGTTCCCGTTGCAGGTGCTGTGCCCTGAGCACAGGCGCAGGGAGCTGCACTCCAGCTCAGGGCCATCTCTGCAGAAAGCAGGAAAGGTCACCTTCGAAGCATCAGGCACATCAGTGTTTACGCCCCACGGGCCCTCAAATGGTTTTAAATAATCAATAAAAATTTTGAAAACTGAACTGACTTGAAGGCAGTAACACACGTGTCTTTCTTTTCCCTTTTTCGGTCTTTTAAGAGTCACTTCAGGTCTATTGAGAAGAGTGTGGAGATTCACTGCTGAGTTGTAGCATCCTTAATTCAAGCTGCCATTGGAAGCTGGTTTGATTTTTTTTTTAGTTGATAGCCAGTGTCTCTGTTTTCTAGTTGTCTTTTTTCCTGCAGAGTCTGTATTTGGGGGTTGAGGTAGAGACTGGGGCTGGCAAGCATTTGTGCTGCTTTCGTTTTGGTTGAGTCATTAACCAGCGGTCTGACTTTTGCTACAAACCTCTCTTGACATACTATAGATCTCATGCTTGGCGGGTAAAATGATCTGCCTCCTTGTCTATATCAGGAAGGGTATATTTCGTGGTTGACTTGGGAAATAGATTACTTCTTGCCTTTGCCTTCCTGTTATGAGTGTTAGAACCTGTTGTTCACAGGATTCACTGTGCATCTCCCTCTCGGCAGAGACAAAAGCAAAATACACTCAATGACAAAAGAAAACTGTCCCAGGGTGGCTCTAATTTCCATATGTTTGAAAGGAGATTATGTGAATACTAGACAATGAATACTAAAGTGAACATTGGGGTCTCACTACTTAAATTATGGCCTTTGAATTCTAAAGTAGGGGAATGGGGAGAAACCTGGTCCGTCAGCTCAAACTGCCACCTTGGCCATTAAGATAAAGAAACTGGTTCCGTCTCAAGGGCATCTGTGAGGTTTTATTTCTAAATGAAACAAGAAGGGCTGAAGCCAAGATGACACATTTCAGATTTCATGTTTTATGATGCGGCCACAGGCATTCATTCTGTTTTGTTTGTATACTTGAGCAGTCTTCCATCACCATGGTTCCACGTGTGCACATGTACACACACACGCACGCGCACACACACGCGCGTGCACACACGGTACTTGAAGGAAAGAGAGGTTCTGAAGGTAGAGTTACCTGCCCAGTTACACAGGTAGAAGACCCAGGGCGGGGGTCAGGGTCCCCATGCTGCAGCAGTGTGCAGAAAACTGTCCATAAATGGACGGACAGTAAACATCATAGGCTTACATCGTTCAGTCTCTCTCACAGCTGCTCAGCCCGGCCAGTGCATCAGTCCAAAGCAACAAGTAAACAGATCAGTTGAACATATGCCACTAAAACTTTATTTATGGACAGTGAAAATTAATTTCATATAAATGGTATGGACCATGAAATATTATTCTTTAGTTTTTTTCAGCCATTTGAAAATGCAGAGTGGTTATTTTTTGCTCACAGGGCATACAAATTAGGCAGCTGGCTGAATTTGGCTCTGGGGAGGGTCATAGTTGGCAGACCCCTGATTTATAGGATTTCAAGGGCAATTTTGATACATAGAATTTCTATTGTTATCACACTCTCACAATTCTCAGTTCATATAGTATTACCACTGTAACTACCCTCTACTGTCTCTTCTCTTTTTAATTTGATTTTCTATTATCAAAGAAAGCATGATACAGTTATGAGTAAACCATCTTTCTCTTCCCACCCACACTAGACTACATTTTCTTTTAACAACTTAATTCACCTACGCAGTGAAATCTGAAAACGTCAGGACTCGGGATATAGACCTATGTCAAGCCTCCCAGAGTTTCATGGTAGACATTCTGGCTGCTTCACCAATAGTGAAACAGTACTAGATGCTTGACCTTAACTTTCCTCTGGATCCCAAACCAGGGGCTTGATCCATGACATTTTACCTTTCTGTAGATGCCAAAAATGGTTCCAATGGACACAAGGCAGTCGATGTTGGAGGATCCATCAAGGGGATCAAAACAGACCACATATTTACCCTGAACCAAAAAAAAAGGAAATACAACTTTACTTTAAAAATAAACACACTATAACAAAATAGAAAGTATACACTAAGGGGATAAAAGAAGGGAATTTAGGGGAAAGTTCAAAAAATGTCTCATTTATGCTCTGTCATGGGAGGTATGGCTGGCATGCAAAATGAAAACAACAACGATGAGTGTATATATATCATTAGGCAGAGAAACACAACCTAGTAAAGGTGGTGTAGAAGAAGGTGGTGTAATACAGATCAGTAAGTCTTCATTTCCTACATCACTGATATTGCTGATTTGTAATTTTGGCTTGAGTTTTCTGGCAGCCAAAGGAAGAAGAGAAACAGGGTTAGTCATTTATTTCTTTTTGTTCGTTAGGAAAAAAAGAAACATATTCCATAAGTAAAGCAAAGACAACATTAAGGTCTATAAGAAACTTCTCATGCAGGTTTTATAGCTGACACTTGGGTTGCAGAACACAGGGTCTCAAGGATATCCCAACTGGACTTCCCAGAGGAACGACCCTCTGTCGTGCCCCCAAACAACCCTCTGTGGGACACCCAAAGATGCAGTCTTTGAACGGGACTGTCAGGAGTATGCTGCGGCTGGCTGCTTTCTGCTCTTGAGAGCTAATTTTGCCACTCTGATTTCAATGATGTCATGTTGGTAGCTTGAAATCAACTCTGGAGGGTATTTACAAAGTTGGCATTGGCAATTACTACAAATCAGAGGATTTTTTTCCCCAAGATATTATCAGTTTACCAGCACACTCTTGGGGTTCTTCTGTCTCCAAATTATCTATTTTAAGATGTGGTTTTTAGATTTCTACGTCAAATTAAGACAGTTCTCTGCTTCCCTGACCATTTGCTCTTACGTCATCCTGGCTGATGCAGGAGACGGGCATCTGGAAGCGGGAACATGCCTCCTAGGAAAGCACACTGTAGTCAGAGCAGGTGGGCTGCCTGCTGGAGAACATTGAACCACAAATTCCATCCACATGCCTGAAACTGCCCAGTTCCCCGAGCAACCCAACAGAGAACAGCAGGAACTCTGAATCTGACTGTAGTATATTTTAGGAATGACGTGAAACAAATGAATTGAATGTGGCTCCCCATGCTCTTCAAAATGTCAAGACGGAGTATCAGGCTGCCTCTCTAAGCTCATCTTCTGATTGCTTTTATCTAATTCTATTCCTTCATGTCCCCGATTCATCTCAAACAACAAAAAAAAAGATAGTAAGTCCATATAACTGCACTTCTCACTTCAAAAGTTTTTTTTTTTATTATCATATGATTTGTTGTTATTGTATAAAAACTGGATATATGTTTCCCATTCCCTTTTGCCACATTACTTTGTTATTGAGCTCCTACAATGGGCCAGCTATTATGTTAGATGCTGGGATACAGAGAAGACTATAATCCATTCTCCACCCTCAAGAAACAATCAGATTAATAAGATTTCAGTGGATTCTGATGCATAGATTGGTGACAGGAATTGGGAGCAGTTGAGATGAGCAGTTGAAATATAGGGTGGGAATTTGGTGAACAGAGATGAAGCAAAAGAGGTAGTTAACAGAACCAGACTTTGAAGAGCCTTGAACATGACAGTGAAAAGTTGGGAGTGAAGATGAGTATGAGTATATATGAGCCTCTCCCATGTGTGAGTCCACGGGAGGGGTGATAATGGCCTGAACTATAGTGGTAGGGTGTACAGGGAAGGACAGTCTGAGAGATGGTAGTGAGGGTGAGTCTAAAATGATGACTCAGTGTTCAGGAGCAATCTAGGGTGATTCCTAGGAACCCAACTTGGCTGGGCAATTGGGGTCACTGATAAATATAGGAAGAAAAACAGTTCTATTAAAACCCTGGATGGTGGGAGTTCAGACTCACCCTTTTCTCAGGTTCTACAATTATGGCTTGTTTATCTTCTTCTGACACAAGCACACAGGTTGCAAAGGATGACCGTAACACGTTAATGACCATGTCATTGGAGAGGACGTCAAGCTTCTTCACTTGATCACCTGTCACATTGGTAGAGCCAGCAATTCCATAACTAGAGGGAAGGAAAGCCACAAACATATAAGCCATGAGCACCAGAATATGTAAATGCCTAGAATCCCACTGAAAGTAACATGTAGTAGGATTTAGAAGGAAGAAAAGAAGGCGCCTGGGTTGGAAAAACAAGAAGGATGATCCTCATTTCAGATGGGCTCCTGGAGGGAATATTGTCATCCACCTGTCCACTATCTGTCATGGTACCTGAGCACACTTCTGTGGTTAAGTCTGTGTTTCTCAACCATTTTTTAAAATTTTGGCCTCTATGGAGGCTTTTTTAGAATACTTTTTCTTTATTGATTTTTAGAGAGAGAGAGAGAGAGAAATATCGATGAGAGAGAACACCAACTGGCCGCCTCCTGCATGCCCCCCACTGGGGATTTGGCCCACAACCTGGGCATGTGCCCTGACCGGGAATTGAACCGGTGACCTCTTGGTGCATGGGTTGACACTCAACCACCAAGCCAGGTGACCCTTTGGTCTTTTACTCATAATATAAGATGATGTAAAGAGAAGAAGCAGGAGGAGGACTGACAGATGAGAAGCTACTTTTCCAGGCAGGCAAGGGAATGATGCCATGTCTCTGAGCTTTTTGGTCTCATTCCACATAACCCTTTTCACCCTAACTGTAAGGCCAACGCTGGTGGGGAAGGAGGGCAGCTAAATTCTGGGTGGAGCTGGAGGGCTCGGCAGGGCCCACCAACTGAAACACATCTCATTCACTGGCCCTACTGGCACCGATCATGTCTCCACCGTAGCCAGAGGATTCCACAATTAGAGTCACTGCCAATTCAGGACAGAAGAACATGGGCATCATGACAGAGAGCTGGCTAATGTACACGAAGGGCTCAGCACAGCCCTTGGCACCTAATATTAGTTCCTGAGCTTGATCTTTAACAGGAGCTCTCATTAGGGACCTGTACATACTGTGAAAGGAATGGGTCTCACAACCTCTCGGGCTCCATCCACATCACACTGAAACGGTTGCTTATCCTTTCCTTCCAGGAGGATGAGGACGAGCCATGTTTTTCCCCAATGTCCCAGCTTCCAGCACATAGTAGACCCTCAATAAATACTTGCTGGCCCTGGCTGGGTGGCTCAGTTGGTTAGAGCATCATCCCATACACCAAAATAGGTTGTGGGTTCAATTCCTGGTGAGGGCACATACCTAGGTTGCAGGTTCAATTTCCTGTCAGGGCAGGTACAGGAGGCAACTGATTGATGTTTCTTTCTCTCTCTCTCTAAAACCAATAAAAACATATCGTCAGTGAGGATTAAAATAATAATAATAAATAACTAGATAAATATGTGCTGACTGACTGAATGCCATTCACTGAGAAACCGAGCCTGAAGGAGTACAGCTGCGATCAACCTCGAAGGTCAGCCCACTTTGGAGGGCGGGGCAAGCACATGTGCCGTAGTCTCCTGAGGGGCGGGCCTGTTGTGACAGCTCCAGGGAGGCCTGGGAGGCTGGGGCAGAGGGACAGCGGCATGGGAAAGGACTGTTCACACTTTGGTCCATGTTTCACCTGCTCAGGTATCTCGCTCAACAAGATAGGTGAAGGCCAGTCAGCTCCTACAGCTCCTAGAGGAGCTGCGTGAGTGTTCATTTACAGATATATATATATATCTCCTCACCTGAGGACATTTTTCCACTTTTTTGTTCAGATAGAGTGGGAGGGGGAGAGAGAGAGAGAAACATCGACGTGGAAAGGCCACATCAAGTGGTTGCCACCCACACGACCCAACCAGGGCCAGGGACCAACTGCAACCAAGGTACGTATCCTTAGCGGGAACCGAACCTGGGTCTCTCCAGACCACAGGCCAATGCTCTAACCGCTGAGCCAAACCAGCCAGGGTTACTCCAAAAATATTTACTGGGCACCCAGTGTGCCCCAGAAACTGTCCTGAATGCTGGGGTTACAGTGCAGATCAAGACAAATATCACTGGCCTCATGGAGCGTATATTCTACTGAGACAAACAAGAAACAAGTACTTGTGAATGAATGAATGAATGAATGAATGAATGAATGAATGAATGAGATAATGTGCTCTAATAAAATGAAATGAGGTGCCTGGAGATGGCAGGGGGAGGTCTCACTGCAAAGGGGTCATTCAAGCTGAATGATATCTTGAACGTTTTTCATTAAAATGGGGACAGTACGAAAAGGCCCTAAAGGAACCCAGATAAGTCTACTGGTAATGAGTCCTCAGAACAGCTCCATGTCAGAAATGTATCCACCGAAAACTGAGAGTTTGTTTTGCACACACTTCCAAATGGGAGGGGGTTCTCTGTGCATATTTCCATAATTTTTAAATTTCGGGGTCTTCTTCCTATGGACTCAGGGAGCTCTGAAAGGAAGGAAGAGGAGACCCAGAGGAGAGGGCCCTCCAAGGCCAGCTCTAGGGTGCGGTGCTCCCGGGCCAGAACCCACTCTTACCACCCCCACCCCTGTTCAAGGACAGACTGGTTTCCCTATGACTGTGTCCCAAAGGCAGAGTCCCCATCACTTGTTTAGGGGATGGGAGGGGGAGAGTTCCTGATGCACTGGACCACCTTTTCTGAGCTTGCACACTCAGCAGCTGGCCAAACAAAAGTGAGAAGCGGGGTCTGTAGGCCCAGATCATGCCCTGGGCTATGACAGCTTATGGTCAGTGTCAGCAGCTGGCTTGTCCAGCCAAGACCACCAGCTGGGTTCCTTGCTGAGGCTCCAGAATTCTCAGGTGTCTCCTGCCCTTGGATCACAGAGGGTGGCACCCCTTGTTATGATGGAGGTTGGGTGAGGCCACAGGAAGAGCACTGTGGGGACACTCCCCACGCCCAGCACCGAAATGACCCTCACAGACAACTGGCCACTTCTCAGGCTCTACCTCCTTGCAGGTGAGGTGGTCACCCCTCCCTACTCTAACTTCCCCCAGAATTGAGGGTCCCGCCTTCGTTTTAGCCAGAAGGACCCTTCAATTATCCTCCAGTTGCTTGTGAAGAATAATACTGAAGAAGAAGAAGAAGAAGAAGAAGAAGAAGAAGAAGAAGAAGAAGAAGAAGAAGAGGAAGAAGAAGAATGAGAAAGGGAGGGAGGGAGGGAGGGAGGGAGGGAGGGAGGGAGGGAGGGAGGGAGGGAGGGAGGGAGGAAGGAAGGAAGGAAGGAAGGAAGGAAGGAAGGAAGGAAGGAAGGAAGGAAGGAAGGAAGGAAGGAGATTGATTATTCTGGGCCCCTCCAACTCAAAATTCAGGCTATAACTTTTCTAGGACATCTCATGCGAAGGGCTCACTTGGTAAAATGTGGTTCTAAAGGAGAAACATGAGCTCCCAGACTCCTTGTCCATAGCAAGGACATCTGAGTTTCTGTCACATCACTGTCTCTGCGTCCCTGCTCAGGTTTAGCTGTGACTGTACACAGCCCTGCATAGGCACAATGGCAGCTGCCTGACAAATGCTCAGTCGGCCTCCTCCCCACACGCCTGGAGGGGCCCCCAGAGGCACCGCGTCCCAGGTAACTCACTTTCATGCCTTTCAGTGAAACGTCAGAGGCAGTCAAGGTGCCCATGATTTTGACAACTGGAAAAAAAGCTCTCAGAAATATCCTCAAAGAACAAAGTAGCTGAAGATCACATGGAATTTATTTTCTCTACAAGTTTTCAGAACCTCCACCTTAGAGACATTAAATGTCTGGATCTGATCAGCCATCACTCTTCAAAGGACAGCTGAGCAAGAGCCACACGGCCCAATGGCCGCTCGGGGAGCAGTGTGATCCCCTATGGCAGTGGCTCTCAACCTTCCTAAGGCCGTGACCCTTCCTCATGTTGTGATGACCACCAACCATAAAATTATATTCATTGCTACTCTATAACTGTAATTTTGCTACTGTTATGAATCGCCATTGGAAATATGTGTTTTCCGATGGTCTTATGTGACCCCTGTGAAAGGGTCGTTCAACCCCCAAAGGGGTCGCAACCCACAGGTTAACCGCTGCCCTACAGACACAGCCCTCTCCTTTCCTGGGCCCGTTGAACAGGGCTTGGAAAATGAATCAACGGACTTCTAGGCAGACTGGAGGAGAGCTCAGCAGGTAGGAAGACCAAGCTGGTTTGGAAGGAGCTCAGGTGTCTGCCATTGTGAACAGGAGAAATGGCACCAATGACCCTCGTGGGACCTGAGCAATGCCTTCCACACACCACATTGTTCATTCTTAGATTGGTTCCCAATGTGCTGCTCCCTGGGCCGGAGTCAGACCGCCAATGAGGCTGCAAGAATGTGGGGAAATCATCACACAACCCTGTCAAAAGAGTCTTCCAGGGCCCAGCTGTACCTTCCAATCAATCGAGAAAGAGAACAAGTGGGAAGATTGAAGAAGTGGGTTGACCTGCACAAGCTGTAAACTTCTGGGCTTAGCTCCCTCCCCCTCCCCTTCTCCCTTCCCCAGCAGAAAAGGAGTTGGGAGCAGTTGTGTGCCCATCAAGCAGGGATAGGGATCTTAGTTTTGACTGAGTCAGTGGCTGAATCTGCCAAGAAAGCTCTTCCTAAATGCAAGTCATCCTGGAAGGCATCATCATGGGCTTTTTTCCGTGGGCCGGGACTCTTAGACCACTGGGATCCAAATCCCAGCTCTGCCCATCACATGCGAAGCAACCCTGGGCAAGCCACCTTTGGTTCTTCCTCTGTGACGTGGGAATTCAGTACGTCTTCATCCCAGTATAGAGAGAGGGGTAGTCAATGAGTTGATATAGGTAAACGGCTAGAACAGAGTCTGGCAAGTGAGGAAGAAGTGTTCTGGCCCCATGCCCACTGCTCACTCCCTTGGCAGTCACACAACCACGCCAGGTTTGTTTCTGGCTTTGTAAGAAGGAGGGTTGATCTGTGTGACACACCTGGTTCATAGCAGCCTCTATTGTTCTTAGTGGAGCCCCAGGCAGCCACTAAGTAAATGCTGATTAATGAGGGGCAGAGACCAAGACCTCTAAACTAGTTTTTCAAGTAACTGGGAAGACAGCCAGTGT